GCGTGGTGGTGCACGCCTGTTATCCCAGCACTAGGGAGGCTGAGGCAGGAGGGTCAGTGTGAGTTTGAGGTTAGCCTGGGCTACAAAGTGAGCTCAAGGCCAGCCTGAACTGCATAGTGAGACCCTGACTCAACAAAATAAAACAAAACAAAACAACAAAAAAGAACTAAATTATAGGAAGAAGGAAAGGTCACTCAAGTATTGGCAAAGTCTCAAGTGTGAATGGACCACAGTTCACACGGTAAATGTGAAAAGATAAATATCCAAGTGCAACAGGGAAGGAACAGCGGTAAGTGAAGAACACAAGATTTCTGTGTATCAGGCACACATCGGCCTGAGTATATATATCATGCAAAGAAATGCATATGAAATCCCAATACTGCTGGGGAAAATGTTTGTGGTTTTGTAGATATTCTGGGGATAGAGTTTTGGCAGGAAGTTGGATGGACAATTAGGATATTAAAGACAGGTACATCAAGTGGCAGTGGAGACCTCTATTAAAATACACACTAAGACAGAAGACAATCTGAGTTGGCTCTCTTCTGAAAGTTAACTGTCTTGTTCAAGAGAAGCTTAAAGCTGGGCATGGTGGTGCACACCTGTAATACCAGCACGCCAGAGCTGGGCCAGGAGGACTGCTCTGAGTGCTAGGCCAGCCAGCCTGGGCTACATAAGCAAGTTCAAGGTCAACCTGAATTGCAGTGAAACCCAGTCTCAAAAAAAAATTAAAAAAATAAAATAAAATACATACATGAAATCCAAATGGAATAAAACAGACAATCCATTTAACTAGAAACTAGTATCTACCTAACACGATTACCTCCTTTTATAATGACAGGGTATTAATCATTCACTTTTAATCTGAGACAGGAAAAGCAGCCCTCTTCAAAGGAAAGAAATTTTAGGTCATATAACAGCTTCAATTAATGTTACATTTCACTTGAAATTTGAGATTAAGTGTATTTCTTTAAAGACTATCTTTGAGTTAGCTCTCACAGTCTAACAGTGTGCAGGCCTGCCGCTCCCTTAGCCTGGCGATCCCAAGAATTGGTTACTTAGCCCAGGACAAGGGAGTTGCATAGCCACAAGGGATGTCCAAGTCCATCTTACTTAGCTCAGAACAAGTGAGCTGCGTAGTCACCAGGAATGTCCAAGTCCATCTGCTAGACCTTCAGGACTTTAGTAATGGGGGAATCTTAAATACCCTGTAGAAACAAATACGAGACTCTGTCACTTCCAATAACATCTTCTAAACCACTTTAATCACTTTGCTTCTCCCTCTGTCAGTTTACATACAGTATTTTCACCCCCCTGTTCCAACTCCTCCACCAACTATCCCTATATTGTTCGCTCTTGTTCTGTAGTTACACAAGTCAAGGCTAAGTAAGATGCATTCCTCATGATATGGTTCTTGGCTTTTTCTGAGTGGTGGTGGTGGGAAAACTTCTTAGACCTTTTCATAAGAGGGCAGGAAATAAATATAAATAACTACATATATACAAACTAACAATTCTGAGCTAAAGGACTAAGATTACCCTAACAACTTCAATTCCTACAAAATAATACACACAGTGATCCATACAGCCCCAGCTCTGTTCAGCTGTTGATTTTAAAGTGGACCCTGTATGTTCTTTCTTTGTTATGAAAGGGTCATTTCTTGTGATGCTCAGACCTTGAGGGCATCACTTATTAAGCAACGTTTCTTGTAAACCGGAAACCACGCCAGGTAAACTACAATTTCATCCAAGATAACTTCAGGTGGCTAAATTTCCTGTGGGCCACTCCTCATCGCACTGACCTGTATGATTGCTGGGCTGGATTAGGCCTGGGGCAGACAGACTGGAGCAGGGTCTCAGGAGCCAAAGGGCAGCATCATAAAACAGAAAGCAAAGACATTCGAACCCAAACCCAATTTTCTAAATAATCAGATTCATGAGAAATAAAAACACTGTGCCAAATTAAAAATCCTAGTCATTTACTCTCACTATCTACAGGTAATGTGCCTCAGTCTGGTTACAAAAAGTTATTCCTGGCACCAGGTCCCAGAACCACACTTCAGCAATATCCTAAACTCTCTTTGTCACATATTTTTCTTTTTTTTTTTTTTTTTTTCGTTTTTCTCCGGTACCGGGAACCGAACTCACGACCTTGCGCTTGCGAGGCAGACGCTTTTTGCCGCTGAGGTAAATCCCCAGCCCTATTTTTCTTAATTAATAATAATAGTAGCAGTGGTAGTAATAGCAGTAATATTATTGAGCTCTTGGTGGTTTTATGAAGGTTAAATAATAAAATTATGTACAGAAGTTTGAACAATGCCTGCCATAAAAGTACCCTGTAAGTGCTAGTTATTATTATAAACCACTATAGATTATCTTTTAGATTCCTAAATTTTCTCACTGCCAGAACCCCTAATGCTGGACAAAGCTGACTGTCTGTCCACCAGGGGCAGAGATCCAGTCCTAGCTGAGTCTGTTTTTCCTACCATAGTGGATTGACCACTGGTGGTCAACTTATAACCCCCAGGTGAACTGAGTAAGCCTGGTGCTGGGTGTGGGAGGCCCATCTGGGGACTGTTGCCAGCAGCATAGGAGGTAGAACTGGAGAAAAAGAAGTTAGGCTGTTGGGAGAAGAGGAAAGGCTGTTGGGAGCTGGTAGAAGCTGTAAGGAGCTGTTGGTTCTTTTGGAGGAGCTCGTCATGCTGACTTTCCTGATGAACTTGGCTGTTTTCATCCTCTGAGGAGCTCGGGACCTTGTTGGCACTGAGAATAGCTTTGGTTCACTTTGAGGGAGCTCTGGTCCTCACTTTGAGCTTCGCTTCCTGGCTCCAGAGGGGAAGATGGTGCACTGCCAGTCTCCTGGAGAAGCTTGCTGCGTTGGCTTCCCTGATGGGAAGTCGGCCATCTTAATCATCAGAGGAGCTCGGGCTGTTGCTGAGGATGGCTGTGGTACCTTGCAGGGGTGCTCTGGTTCTTCTGAGCATCACTTCCTGGCTCCACTGTAGATCCCTCAGCCTGCTGGCACAGATCCTTCATCCTGCTGGCACAGACTTCCTAGATTCCACCACTGACCTTTGGGCCTTCCCAGCTCAGATCCGTGAAGCAGGCCTGCGTGAGATACTGTTATGGGCTCTGGGTCTCCAGTTGGATTCATGGGCGGCATTGTTATGGGCTGTAGGTATTCAGCTGGACTCATGTAGGACATTATCGCGGGATCCAGGCCCTCAGCTGTATTCCTGGTCTATAGGGTGTGGACAGATTTCCTGCACTCTCTTGTGTATCATTGTTTGGGTGACTATTATAAATAATCTTATAAAATATGCATCCTGTATTATATTGCTCCCTTGCAATATCCCCCAAACCACAACACCTACTTTCCTAGAGGCTGGGGAGTTGGGATCCTCCAGTGATTTTACACAATGGCTCCTCAGCATCCTTCCCACGAACTTAACCTTCTATATGGATGTTGGCCAGAATTATTTGGGGGACGGGGCTGAGAGGTATAGGTGAGTTCTAAAACACTCATCTCTTTGTGTTAACCTCCCTTAATTGGCATCAGTTAAGAGCCTACTGTTTGTGAGGCAGGTACCAGATCCGTGCTGTGAGGATCAGGAAGGTTTTTACAGGAAAAGAAGGGGTGAGGCTTTACAAGAAGACAGAACAACAGAAAAACACAGTAGATAAAAGAAATGGAAGGTGATACAATTTCACTGTAGAATAAGACACAAAAGGCACATACTTGATCCTCAGTAAATGTTGGCTGAATTGTTACTAAATTAGCTATTAGACTGGGCATACAAGTTAAAGACAAATCATACATGGCTTTGAAAGACGAACTAAGAGATTCAGGGTTCACTCTCCTCAGAACAAGGGCCCCTGAGCCTGAGCAGAAAAGCTCCATGCTGTTGAATTGTGCTTTAGAAAGAACACTTAACACCTCAATCAGTCCACTTGTAAGTACAGTGTATTGATTAATTTCATCTTCTGGTCTGGATCTAGTCAAATGAAGGTATCAGCAAAATTAATTTAGAATCAAGGATTTGACTACACTCATGACCTGAAGCAGACATACTATTAGGTGTGTGTTACAACAGAGAAAACGCCAGGATAAGTACCCTCTTATTCACCTCTAGTGGAGATGACCCACATTTCACTGGAGGGACCCTACTAGACACTGCCCAGCACGGCACAGTGCTGTGTAAATAAGTATTCGGTACACGCAGTACTATAAGTATCAGGTGGGAGATCTTACACACAGACCCTAGTATCACTGTGGTACCCCAACTTAGAAATGTTATCCTGTACCAAGACGCTTTCCAACCACAGAAATGACAAAGTATGAAGTTCTATGAACACTATCCCCTAAACTAGGAATCTAGAAGGCCAATCACAATAACTGATCTGTTTATTCTGTATTTTACTTACATGGCCACTTGAAGAAATAAATTTTAAAAATGCAATTCAATGTTGTGTTGGGACAGTCAAGTGAATAAAATAGATGTTATCCAAACTGGAAAATAAAAAGGTTTTCTTTACGGAAAAAAAGGTACAACATTCCAGCAATGAAAGCGCACGGAATCAACACCCACCACAACGATGGTAAACCTCGGTATGGGAATACAGAAGATACCAGTCACAGGTCCGGTTTTCCTACACCCTTCTCGTGAGCAATGAACCCTACAACGTGAAGACTCTGAAAGCGGAAAAGGCCGCAGGAGCGCGCAGGGCCGGGAGCAGC